GGCCAGCAGCCACCGACCGCCACATCCTGGGATTCCTGCCAGCAGGAAGAGAAAACACAACCGCCCCGCTACTTCCTCCGGTTGGGGCCTTCCAGCTCCAGCTCTTCTCCATCGTGGGAGCAAGAGACACTTCAGATCAACCCCATCAGTGTCTGCCCACCCCAGCAATTCCCCCACCGAGCTGGAGGAGCCGTGGCTTTGCCGTAGCCTTGGCTATAATCAGGTTTGGAGCTGTAGAGGTGGATGCCTCCTCCAAAAGCCAGCAGCCAGTTCTCGCCCGCTGTGTCAGCCCCTCCCGGCAGGTCTCAGTGCACAGACGGCGCATATCACACATTTACCTCCAGCAAAAACACACGCGGCCTTTAAAAAAGGAGATTTTATTTACATTTTGTGGTTCTTTACATTTGGTGGTTTAAAACCCGGGACAAAAATACTCCCCAGAAGCTGGGGTAAACATGTAAAACTGCTAGTTTACATTTTAAAATCCAGTAATAAATTGCACAGAAGTCTTAGGTTGTACAGAGCCATCACAAGATTGTTATATAAAACCCCAAAATCTGCAGAGAGAACCAGAGGAATAAAGAATTACAGCCACAAGTATTGGTACAAGAAAGGGCACAAGTTTTGAGGGTTTTACCCCAACAGTCTCTCTTGGGGAGGAGGCATGGGACAGATGTTCCTGGTACAAATAGTTGGAAATGTTTTAAAATACAGAAGAAAAAGCAAATCCTGTCTGGTGCTGGCTCAACTGGAAAATGTCCTAGCAGAAAATACTTAGTTTTATAGAACTGCTCAAAGTCCAGTGGAAAGCTAAAAAAGAATCACTGCCCAGCAAAATGAGCCTTTGCCTCCCCCCGTCTCCCTCTTCTCCATCTCCTGCAGGCAGTGGGACAACAGGGGCCAAAGCGGAGTTTAGCAGGACACAACACTGGAAAAGCCAAAAAATATGGAGGCAGCACATGTGGAGAACAGGGCAAGAACAAAACCATGAAGGACAAAAAAAGCAGCAGGGGAAAAAAAAAAAAAAGGACAGATGATATTTTTGGTATTTTCCATTGAATGCTGAGTTTGGAAACAATTAGCTCACGAGCTTCACTTGTGCCCTCCCCAATTCAAACAAACCCAAAAAACAATTGCTTACAAATTGGAGCCAGGAATTTGAATGACTTCCTGTGCGCTGAAGCTTTTTACCCAGAGCTGGGTTGAGAAAATTTTTTTCTTCTTTATTCCAGAGTTCAGAAAGAGGAAAGAGGGATGACCCAGGGCCTCCAGGAGCTCCCCAGGATCAGAGGCTGAAGGCAGAGAGGCTGCAGAAAAAAAAAGGGGCAGAGGACAGAGGGCTTGTCCCCTCGCCCTCTCCAGTGGGGAACACACACCCGGACACTGGGCTTTGCCCCATCGAGCTCACCCACAGCACTCGGATACCCCAAGGACCCACAGTGCCCTGGGGCCACAACTGTGGGTCAGCTGAGGAAGAGCTGGACTAACTCCTCCGTGCTGCAGTCCTGGACCATTTCAAAGGCTCCACAAAACACGAACAAGGCTCTTTGGGTCAGGCTTCAACTCCCGGCCGCAGCGCTGGGGGACAGGCGAGGCTGGGCAGGAACGCTGGAAACCACAGCGCTTCGCCCGTTCTTTCTGTGCCCTTGTACAACAGCGAGGCTGCTCAGAGACAACCTCAGGGCGATGCCCCGCTGCATCCCAGCCAGAGCCACCCTGAGAGGCCTCTCCCCACCAGGCTGCACGTGCCCAGCCCCAGCACCCAAAGAACAAGGACCACCTTGAGGTCTGGCTCCAACTCTTTCCTGCTCCCTCCACAGCAGCCAACGGACATGGGCACTCCTCGCCAGGGAAGATGAGGGGGGGAAGATGAAGGGGACCCCACGTACAGCCAGAGGTGCTGAAGGACCAGTTGGTAGCCAACAGAACTGGGGAGAGCAAGCTCCGGTGCATGGGAGCAGTGCAGAGGCGCAGGGCACAGCGCAGGGGCTGTGCGAGATGAGCCAGCCTCGGTCCTCCCCCCTCCCCACCATGAACGGTGTGTTCCCAACTGTGAAGGTTAAACGAGGACAGGCACTGGCTGGGGGTCTACAAGGGGATCCCAGTAGCTCCAGCCACAGTAACCAAACAGCACTCCTGTTTCCAGCCAAGGAACATGAGCTGGACACATCACCAGCAGCTCGGCTTCAGGGCTGGAGGACAAGGAACCGGGAACCCAGTCATGGTCCAGGAGCCTACAGCCCGACTCAGCACGTCCAGCAGCATCGACAGCTCACAGGAATTTTTTCAGAGGTGTGGAAGGGATTTGGGCTGAGGCCCAGAAGGAGGGATACGTACTGCTGGCAGCAAGGAAGAGCACAGGAGCTGCAGGCTGAGCCAGGGAAAACAGGTTCAGCTCCATGGGAGGATGAGGAAGAGCACCAGGGAGGAGACGTACCATTACAAACAAACAAGCACCTGCCTTTGACCCCCAGTGTATCAAGAATGCTTTTCATGGCGGGCACAGACCACCAGGCAAAGGGGAGAGCCCTGCGTAATAAAAGCCGAGCAGAAGCGAAAGTCGAGCAGAGGGTGAAGAAGGATCCTCCCGAGACACAGATCACAGCTCAGGCTACCCGCAGTGACAACATCCCAGCAACACCCACATGCTTCAGACACGGTGTCACCAAATGGTGGGTGTGGGGAGGAGCCTTTCTTCCTTTTTTAATAAAGTTTCTTCCAAATGGCTCTTTAAGAGAGGGCATGGGCTGGAGCCAGACCTTGGCTCTTTCATCTCCATCCTCCTGAAAGGGAGAGCCCACTCTCCCCTTCCTCCGCACGAGTCCACCTCATCCTTCCCGACCCGAAGCAGAGAGCAGAGAGCACTGCACGAGTCCAAACCACGGCTCCGGGACCCAGGGCTGGGGGTGCCTGCTCCAGAGCTGAGCCCACAAGGTGCCAAACTCTCTCCAACCACCTGGAACTACGAGCCCAGCACCGCGGTCAGGCTGCACTGGGCTTGTGTTCCCAGAGCTGTCCTGGCAGAAAGTCACCTTCACGGTAACAGTAAAAAAAGTTGCTTCATTTTTCAAGAAGTCAGCAAGGTGCATTCCTGGATTTGGCATGAACAGGCACATGGATAAGCATTAGAAATGGATGAAAAAGTACAGCATTTCTCTTAGAATAATTTATTAAATACAGCATTAAAATTTGTATTTATGAATTCAATCATTAAAAACAAAACTTCATCTCATATATATATATATATTCAGGGACAATGACAATCATTCTATTGACATTGGTGCATGTTGTGCCAGCACTGCTCAGAACGGCACCTTCCCTACGCTATCCTTAAAGCAATTCAACACTTAAAAAAATGAAATAAAATAAAAAGCATTTGCAAAGAAAGAGTGCAAAGCAGGGCTTGTCCCCAGCTGCCTGCGGGGGCGTGCAGAGACGGGCTAAAATGGGGAGGCAGAGGCTGTAGTGCTCCTAGCAGGGGTGTTAGATGTTGCCCGCCCAGCATGAGGCCGTGTGGGGACCACTTCTTGGGGGTGCCAAACGTCTGCAGTCCAGAATTTCAGCCTTGGCTGGATGCCTGTGGCTCTGAAGTTATCTGGTTTGCGGTTTCCTCAGCTTGGGCTAAAAAAGCTAAACAAGGCGAAGGGCAGGGGGAAAGCGCAAAAGAAAAACGCTGTTTTATATCCACCAGCTTCTTCCCCCAACCTGTCGGGTCCAGCGGAGTCGGCAAACGAGGCACAGCAGTTTGTGTTCCCGCTCATTCGGATTCGCATCCTGCCGTGGCTCAAAGGAGGCTCAGGAGACAAGCGATAAACCAGCACCGGCTCACGGAGAGAGCAGTCCCCCGGCCAAGCGCCTTCGCACCCCGGCTTGGCAGCATCTGTCCCCCAGGGAAGGGCCGTCCCCGAGGGAAGGGCTTCCACGGACAGAGCCCTTGGGCAGACTCAGAGGTAGCGTCAGACGGACTTTTGTGACTTGATTGTCGTGTAATTCTGGCCTGCCGAAGGCAGCGGCCGCTGGGATGGAGAGGGCACCCTGCAGGGTGGGGACCTGGACCCCCGCCTGCAGACTGACCAGCGCTGTTCATCCCGGGCGCTGCAGTCTAGAAGTGAGCAGGGATGATGGACTGTCTCCTATGGGCTTCTGAAAAGCTGCCCTTGCTGAAAACGGCCAGGAGCTGGCTGTTGGGCACCCATGGTAACACCGAACTCTCCCTCCACAGCTCACCAGGGCCACGTGGTTATAAGCAAGTGCCCCAGCGAGCTCCCCGCTGCCGCAGCCTGCTCTCCTCTCACCGCACGCAGCCCGTAAAAAAAAGGCTGCCAGTCACTCACCCCACAACACAGGGACAGCGAGGGCTTGTGCTTTTGGCTTTTTAAGAGTCCCTGACTTTCCAAACCTGCTTACTCCAAGAAACCTCCCGTTTCAGCTACCCTTAGGACCTATGAGGACAAGGAGGAAGGGCTGTCAAAACCATTTCTGGAGAGCACACCGCCGCTAAAAGAGAAGAGAAAGTCCACACAGCCCAGCCTTCACCTACAGTGGAGAGGTGCCAAGTCAGGAGCGTTTCAGATAAGGCATCGCAGGTGCTTTGATAGTAAAGCAGTTAGTGTTGACTACAGTACTTAACCACAGGCTGCTGCAGAGGCCACTCCTGGGGCAAAACCAGTTCTCCAGCACTTGGTGCAGCAGCGGGAGATGGTTCAGTTTCCCAGACCTCTCCTACACACACACAGGCTGCTCTGGCTGCCCTATTTGGTTTTTTTTCCCCCCTCCCTAGAAAGAGACTTAAAAAGCCCAGGCTGGGATGTGCCATGTACCCCACCAAGCAGCCCCAGCGATCAAAGGACGCCTTGTGCTGTACCAGACTTTGCAGTAGGCAGGTGAACCGCGGCGCCCGGGGGTGGGCAGCGCCAGCGGGACTCGAGGCAGGGGAGGCTAGTTGCCGTTGCTGATGCTGGAGTTGGCACTGCTGCAGCTCTGCTCGTAGGATGGAGGTGCCTCTGCAGGGGAGAGAAAGAATAAAAGCGGTTACGGTGGGTGTTTGGGAGGTTCCCTCCACCCCAGCAGATGTAACTCGGTGCTGCTAACACATGCTGCGCATGCAGACACTCTCTCCAGGACCCTGTAGCCTGCCCCACCAAAGTAAATCAGGTTTTTGTGTGCACGTGCAGAATTTGAGCCAGCCAGTCCCATCCCTGTCCTGATGCCTACAGAGGTCAAAATCAGCACCTCCAAGTCTGGTTCTGCTTCTCTCCTTCTTGCATAAGCACCCTCATAGAATCCCAGGATGGTTTGGGTTGGAAGGGACCTTAAAGACCATCCAGTCCCACCCCCGCCATGGGCCTTGAACCCCTCCAGGGATGGGGCATCCACAGCTTCTCTGGGCAACCTGGGCCACTGCCTCACCACTCATGTGCCCTAAACCTCCAGATCCCAGGTGACCCGTTCTCCGTGCACCCCAAGCCAGGGCTGAAGTGACTCATCAGGTGTCCTGTTACCCAGTACTAACAGATGGGTTTATCTGGGTAGGACTGTGCTAACAGACACCGCGGGTCCCTGCCACCCCAGCCACCTGGGATGAACACAGCTCCAGGAATCCAGTGTGCAGGGATTTCCCCAAGCTTTTCCAGCCTGGACAGTCTCTCAGCTCCCGCCCCCACAGCTCGCACGTTCAGACCAGCTGCAGGCCCACTCCAAGTCAGAGAGAAGATTTCAGTTACATCATTTTCCTGGCTCTGCTCCCACCAGCCTCACCACAAGCCAAGAAGTTTTTCTATCAGTGGGAGGCTGAAAGCTCATTTAAGAACAGGGAGATCCTCTCCACAAGCCCAGGGCAGGCACGGGTGCAGACGTGGGAATGGCCGGCTGGCTTTTACAGCTGCAAGAGGGGACTCCTCTCTGCCCGCTAGCCTCTGGAGATCTCATAATCCCCTATGATATCAGCCCCCAGCAGGCTGACATCCCTATATTCCCACCCCGTTCGCAGCTAGCAAAGAGACTTTTGTCGCAGGAGATGTTCACAACCACGCTGCCAGCCCGTTTCGGTCTCTGGAGCATCCTGCTCACCATATGGGTAGCCCCACGTGCTGTACTCCGGAGGCAAAATGAGAGAGCTGGCTGTGGGGACGGGCACCACGTTCCCCTCAGCGTAGTAAGGGACAGTGGCTCCCGTCGACAGGCAGAGCGTGGGATGGTTCGGGGAGCCCGTCTCGGGTCCACCCTTATCTCCTGGAAGCTCAGTCCTGGGGCGTAGCTGAACGGCTGCTGCTGGGAATGGCTTTTGGTGGGGAGCGAGACATTGTCCATCGGGTGATAGCCGCTGGCAGCATCCTCTTCCTCCGGGGGGGCACTGGGTACCACTGCAGACGGTATGTGCTGGATGGAGAGGGAGGGGCTCAGAGGCACCCTGTTCACAGCAATGTTACCAATATAAATGGGGAGAGTGACCGAAACCTCAGGTGACTTGAGGGAAACCTGGAACAGAAGGAAAAACAGTGACACCCTCTCGTTATTGCACTGGAAAAGGTCACCTGATGCAAGGGCTACCTGCACCACACAGCTACGGAGTTCAGCAATTGAGCTCAACCCAGAGGGGAACACAGAAGTTGCCGCACAGCCCCCTGGAGCTCCCCAAGAGCATCACGGTACTCACTTGGATGTAGTAGTCGATATGTATGAGGCTACAGCCCTGCAGAATGGACTGGGGCAGCGCCGGAACGAGGATCTGCTCCCTCCATTCTGCATGTTTCCAGGCTTTCACTCCTGAGCCTTCCACCTCCGCGATGGTCCTCAGGTCATAAATCCAGCGCTTGGATTTATAAGCCACTTTCTATACAGACAGGAGAAAAAACAGCTAGTAGAAAGACTGCAGGTGGTCTTCCATCTCCCACAGAAGGAAAAACACCCAATTACTTCACCAAATAAGCATGAGTACAAACCCAATGTGCGCATTACAGGGCAGAAACACCCATCGTTAGACGATAGACTGAATTGGTATGAGCAAGACATGTTCTGCCACCTCTGTCCCCAGGAGGGCAGAGAGTTAGCCAGAGGTCTGGCGCCCTCACTGCCACCTCCCAGCCATGGGTAGCAGAGACGGGCACTGTGCTGAGAACTGCCTCAGCTTCACAGAGGCCTCGGGGGATGGAGTACCAGCACAAGCTGTAGAATCACCCTTTGGGATGCTCACCTGGAGCAGACTGGCTACCACAGCCCCAGTGTCCCGGCCTGATTTGTTCTCTATGTCGGTGCGGAGCTGGATCGCTTGCCCCACGATGTATCCTTTCAGATCCGAAGTGGCGGTCAAGATGATGTTGCCACTTTTCACAAGCTTATAGTTGAACTTCTTGGTGACTGACATAGTGTTGGGCTGCTGCAGGACAGCAGAGAGACAGAGATGTTGGCTCAAGAGAGTCAGAGAGCCTCAAGGAAAAACACTCAGATTTGAAACAAGCAAGCAAAAATATTCTGGTCTAAAAGGATGCAAAGAACCAGCAAAACAGCACTGCCATGGGCAAAAGGTCTCACTTCTCCAGTCCCCCAGTTTTGCTGTCCTGTTAGTCTCTTCCCTTCAAAGGAAGTTCTCCAAACCCAGGTCTCTACAAGCACCTGGTGCTATTGGCAGACACCTCTCTCTGCATGCTGAAAATTCACATAAACCTTCCAAAGCGATGTGTGGAAGAATCAAAAACCACCGAGAGCAGGATCTGATGGCAAGGCAGGACAGATCAGGAACCCTTGTCCTGCTCTTGCACAGTCAGGGCACGCAGTCACTTGTCCAACCACCCAGTTGTTACCCAGCCAGCACAGCCAGCACGTGTGACAAGGACAAGTGCTGAAGCCCCAGCACTTCCCAGCCATGCTCCTCCTGTTCTTACCTCGATGTCAGGGATGTCATTCAAGTTGAGAGGGCAGAGAACGTAAAAGATCTTGTTGCACTTGTAGTCCTTGGAGAAGCGAGGTGTGTCTATCACAGCTTTCAGCTGGTGGAGGACCTTGCCAAAAGGGCCTTCAAATGATGTAGGAGAAGAGGCTGGAGTACAGAGAGAAAGAAAAGGATCACAAGGCTGAGTCAGGCCAAGCATTTCTGAACTGGAAATAGTCTCTTTAAACAGCTTTCCTCTTCACCTAAAGAGTTCTGCAAGTACTTTAACCATGGGGATCCCCCCAAAAAGGACCTGGGTCTGAACAGTTAAGTCAGAGACCTTGCTGCGACCTCCTTGCAGAAGGGATCCAAGGTTCAAGAGCAGCGATCCTCTCTCTGAGGGCACTGTGTACAGGATGTTGGCTGGCCACAGGCCAGGAGCCCTGTGCACACCCAGAGAGCTCGCAGGGTCATGGAGAGGCATCAGCAACAGCTCAGACCCAGCTTTGCACTGTGCAGAAGGTACCAGCTTGTCCAAGCTCCTCTGCTGTCTGCGGCTGCCTTTACACCCCCCCTCTAGTGTCCCCAGGCCAAGGTGCCAGCCTGGCTCTGCTGCTCAGCACAGCTCGAGAGGCTGCAAAAGCCAAGGCTGGCGTGGAAGTGCCCTCAGCCATTTACATGCATCATACCTGGCAGCAGGAACTGGAAGGGGAAGTTGTGCTCTCCAGCTGTCAGGACCCCTGTGGGAAACAACAGTAAAAGGTCAGTGGGACAGGCCATCACCTTGGGACAGTGTTTGTGGTGCACGATCTTCTGGACAGAGGCCACCACCTGTGGAACAACATGTTCAGCTGCCTTCAGCCCACTGCACAACTCCATGCTCATCCTCCAGATCCAACGAGAAGCGCTTGCATCAACAGGAGCATCTGCCTCCACCCCCCTCTCCTTGGGACAGGGGACATCTCCACTCCCAGTGACAGGTTCTACATTAAGATACTCCAGAAATAAGGAAGTTTGGGGCAGGGTTGAAGGGATCCCAGTACCATAGCAAGCAGTTAGCCCGATCTACTGACACAGGGCATGGAGAAGGGATGCTGGGCGTTCATCTTTCCTCGGGTAGGCTGCAGGCAGTCAGTGGGAAGGCGAGAAAGCACAGGCACTGCCCGAGGGTGGTAAGGAGGCCTGGCGGGCATCAAGCTGCTATTATAGCCGTAGCCTTGGCCTCGCACCAAGCCCCACAGACTGCATAGCGTTCAGGAGCTGGATCCAGAGGTCCATCTCCCAGTCTTAAATCCCCTCCCTGGTCCCAAGAAGGGACCTTGCAATACCTCAGCCCGGCTGCCGAGACAACTGGAGCAAAGAAGAAGATTTTCACAATGTTAAAACCTCTATACTGGCTCTCTACAACTGCATCCTGCTCTGCAGTGGTGGCCGGGAGGGCACAGATCGGGGCCGAGATGCGGTGCACAGCTAAAACAACAGCTACAGACTCAGCCTTCCTGACCCTACCACCCTCCAGCGCTCCCATCCAGCCTCCCAGTTCCCTCCCAGGATAGCCACGATGGCTGAACTGGACACACAATGTGATCCAGTAACATCACGCAGCTCCCGAAGCTGCCTTAGGTAAGAAAAGCACTAAGGTTTATCCTCACTTGTTCAATAGATGTAAACACGAGAGGTTTTGCTTTCAAGGTGGCCGTGCTAAGAAGAGACCAGGACACCAGCAATATGAGATCCCGCTGTGTCTGTTCTGCTTTGCAGGATCATTGCTGGAGGTACCACGACTCTAGATTTGGCTGGTTCTTCTGTTGATGCAAGACAGAGGAGACAGCTTGCCCGTTAGCAAAATTGGCTCTGCAGAGGTGACAGTAACACAGTCCTATCATCAGGGGAATAAGGGGATTACGTGACGGGGAGGTGGGGAAGAGAGAAGGGTAAATCCCTCCCGCACTGACACTGTGATCCAGGTAGGAGGCAGGGGAGGTGGTGTTGGACTTGGTGCATCCTTCACGTTATGAACAGCTGCCCCTCCGCTTGCTCAGCCACCCCACGGGGACCCTGAGGACACCCCAGCTAGCGTGTATCCTGCCTACAGTGCAAAGGCAGGCGGAATAAATAAAATGACAAACATCCCATCGTGTCTCGCCACAAAGGGAAGTCAGGAGAAAACAATGAGATGTCTGCTGATACACGTTGTCCTTACAGAGAGGAGCTCGCTGGTTCCCAGCACCCCGCCCAGAACCCCTCCCTGGTGATTTCCCAAATAAACCCGAATTATGTAGGCTAAAATGCAACACTCGCTCCTGTCACCAGGTGGAGGCACAAAGCCAGGCACTGCCTTCGCTGCCAGGCCTGCGCCGTGCGGAGCTGGGACAGGCACAGGGGCGTGGGGCAGCTCCTGGCATTCCCTTCTCGGGAAGCCTTGCTCGGTTAGAGGACACGGTTTGAGATGTAGCAGGTGCCTTTGCTTGTTGGTTACGGGTAAAGCCTGGCTAATAGCAATAACCCAACCAACCCAGTGTTTGTTTGAGGCTCCAAGGGTTTCTGTCTTTTTTATTGAGCACCATAAGATGTTGATCTTATAGCTGTTAGCCTTAGTTTTGGAAAGCGAATTGATAAACTGGAATACATCCAGCTGCTCCCCTGGGCAGCTTCTCCACTGCAGTAAGGGGACTTGCTCCATCTGAAAGGGAGAGGGAGCACATCCTGTCACTGCAATGCAGAAGGGTAGTGGCCACTGAATTTCCACCAAGATCTGGAGACTTTCCAGCTGTCTGACCTGCAGAGCCCCAGATGAACATGCTGGCAGTGATTTCAAGTCTCCTGCTAGGGGTGTGAAACTTCACAGCCTTCCCAGGACCCTCAGGAATTGCTCACAGACCCCACAACGTGACAGTCCCTCTCCTACCTTACAGGCAGCATGATCTAACAAGTCATTTCGGTCAAGCTCCTGCCCAGCTCACATGCACCAACAGAAAGCCAGGCTGGAAGCGAACCTGCGAGCCCTTCGTGGTCACAGCTTCCAACCCCTGCAGAAAACCAGGGAGCCTGAAGCTTGCTCCCAACTGCAGCACGGAGGACGGCACGCTCTCCCAGCAACACGTGTGGCCAGCATCACTCACCGAGGACGCAGTTGAGCTCTCGGAGCCACCCCATGACTTCCACACGGGCAGCCTGGCCTCCGAGTAAGTCACCAGATGAGAACTGCTCACAGGTCAGGGTTGACCACCCCAATAGCTCAGACCAAGCCTGAGCAGAGTGAGACCCGTTGTCTCACAGCACGCTCAGACTGGCTGTGATGCACCTGGGGCAGGGAGCAGCCTGCAAACCCCTCCTGCAGCTCCTGCCTGCAACACGCTGCCCATGAGGGCTGGAAAAGGCTGGCCCTGCTCTTCACAGCCAGTGATGAGTTCTAAGACCACCTACCCCAGACTGAAGTTGTGCCCCCGTGGCAGCTCACATGGACCCAGGACATCACAGCAGTGCTTGGCTCGCGGCCACGAGACCTCAGCCCTGCGCCGAGCAGGGAGCCGGGGGAGCACAGCGAGCTCTGTTCTCCACTCCATTAAGCAGAGAGCTGCTGCAGGCAATTAGCAGTAGCTCTTGTTTTCAGACCACACTCTCTTTCCCCCAAAGAGAGAGAGAAGCATCTTTATGCCAGCCCTGAGATCCTCCCCGCCCACCGTATTTTCCAGCAAGCACCCAGGTCCTACCCACAGGCGCAGATGCCATCAAACGCGGTTGCATTTGCCAGCAGAGCTAACAAACAGCCTCACAGAGCTCCGACTTCAGCTGAGCACCTGCATTTCTCGCCTTATTGCAAGCACGGAGGCTGTTTGGGCAGGTCACTGGTGGAGGGGCTACAAGGGGCAGCAGCACCCTCAGCCCCGCATCCACCGGGGACCCCCAGCCTCGGCTGTCAGAGCCCTCAGCAGCCTGGAGCAGGCGTTTCGAGGAGCCCGCTGGTGAAGAAGGTGGGAGAGGTGTGGGAGTTCAGTGCCAGGGCTACTTCAGGGAGAAGAGTTAATAAAAATAGATGAAGAAAAACAGACTCCAGACACAATCCAGAGTGAGTGGCAGAGTGAAAAGGCAGCAGAGACCACAGGCAAGCCGGGGGCCTGCCTGCCTCCCGCTGTGAGCCCGAAGAGAGGCAGATATTTATTCAGCAGTAACCCCACGGTGAGTTCCTCCCCGGGCTCCTGCTTGTCCCTCCCAGCAGGAGCTCCTCCGGCATGGACACACTGGAGGCTCCGTGTCCGACTTGTCTGGGATCACAAAACCATTTCGGTCTTTTGCCATGTGCCTGGTGCCTTTGGCAGGTGCAAAGTTGTCGAGTCTCAAGCTGAGTCTGCCCCTTACACCAGGCAGGGAGGTGGCAACTACTTTTAAACTCTCCAGCTGGCAATCCAGCTCCTAAAGCCTGAGCTTCCATTTCCAAATGCTGGCCAGTCTTGACATAACAGGGAAAATCTGCAATCTCCCTTGTCCCAGCCACCTCGCAAGCATGGGCAGGACACAGGAGGACCTTGCCCCAATGCCCAGGAACCTCTCACATGGAAAACATCAGCAAAAGTCACCTCGGCACCCTGCAAGGGACACTCGTGGTGCTCGTCCATCCCACGCAGCCACCACAACAGCAGGACAGGACAACACGGGTCCCGCTAGCCACGCACGTGCCTTGGATCCCTGGACCATGGCAGGAAGACGTGGCACCATGTACAGCACACAGAGCCGCTCTGCCTGCCCGGCCTCATCCGCTGTATGACACCAGCCCCAAACAGCAAGGGGGACACAAAACCCACGGGAAGCCCCTGTTCCTCCAGCTTCAAAAGCTTCAAGTAACGATCCAGGACATTTAATGTGCTAATTCCACCTGCAAATTGACTTTGCAACAGGGACGGTTGTGGCAGCAGGCAGAGGTGAGAAGGTTTCCTCTGATGGCCACCGTGGCGTGCAGACACCCGGGAGCAGCAGCCCTTTCTGAATGCTCCTTTCTGCGCTGCTCCTGAACCAGAAGCTTTGCCAAAGCAAACTGCAGCCGGTGCATGGGGGAGAGCAGGTCAGCAGGAGTTCAGCATCACTCGAGGGGTCTCCGACATCCCCTCACAGCAGGCTGCAATGCTCCTGAGCACTTTGCAAACACACTGCAACAGGAAAGGGCTGTGCAAGCCACCGCAGCCGCGCTGAGCCTTTACCTCCCCATTCCCAGAAGCCTGAACAAAGGCCACAGTGTGCTCGGCTGCAAAAAAGCTTTTCCTGGAGTTTACGTGCAGCTAAAAATACCTTGAGAAAGTCATTAGGCATCAGAGGTCGCTGGATTAGCAGGGTTCTGCCGTGGGGCTCCCGATAGGAGCCAAGACAGCAGAGACTGGTCACCTCCGCACAGCCTTTGGAAACATCCTCCCTCAAAATTCCTGGAGGGAAAGGAGCCACTGCCCTAGAGAGCCTGGAAAAAAACAAACCCAGAGAGCAGGAGCAGCAATAGCATGCTAACAGTGCAAAGAGCCGTCTCACAGTGCAAAGCAGAGCGCAACCTTGCAGATTTCCCTGAATCAACGGAGATTTGTCTGGAAGCAAAGACTCTCCTGTTCACGACTCAGCTGCTCCCCTCGGCTCCACACTGGGATGGGGGCTGCTGGTTGTACCAGTGGGTGTGGAGGAGGCCTGGGAGGACTCACCATGTGCAGAAAGGAAACACCTGCATGCAGAGGGCTGGTGCTGAGTCCTCTGCTGGCTCCCC